TGTTAAATTGTTGATTTAAAAAATTAAACATTTTCATTTTATTTAAAAGTATTACAATTATCAAAAAATTAATTTTGTAGCAAAATTAAAAAAATTCAAATAATTTTGCGGTTTTTTTTCTGGTTAAATTAAATAAATAATTTTGAATCGTTTTCAATGACAATTAAAAATCTAATGGAAAACTCAGGGCTGATTAACAGAACGTGTTTTAATTTGCGATTAACTTGTAGTTTGTCAATGCAAAAATAAATAAATGGCAACTTAATTCGAATTAGTTTAATCCTGAAATAAATTTTAATTTCGTTTTATGCTCAAAGAATTAAACCACTCGCGGTAACGCACACGTGGAATTAAACCTTCTTCTCGCAAATAAACAATGGTTTAATTTATTTGTTGTTTTACATCAAATTAAGTACAGAGAAAGCCTATTTCGTACAAAAATTATGTTATTTTATTTTGAAAAAACAGTTAAAAAAATTATTAAGTTAATAATGATTTGTTTTTTCGTTAGTGTTATAATTAATGCATAAAATTGTTTAAAGAAATAATTGTTTGTGTAATTTTTCATTAAAAAACTCAACATTTTCATCTGTACTTAAATAGAATTGCCCGAATGTTAATTTTTTATTGGCCTCCTCTCAATATTTTGCTTGCTTTAAATCGCACAATGGATTCAATTACGCCGATCTAATCTCGATCGTCATCTCGACGGGTCAGCAAGGCATGAAGATATCATTCGGGGGATGCACCTGTAGGTTCCGAGTGTGCTCGAGGGCGGCGCATCTGGCATCTGTCAACAGTGCATCGCACACAAACAGAGTAATGGCAATATCACTAATATCACCCTTCAATCTGCGCGGACCACTGATTGTGGAGGGCGGATTGATGCAGGAGGACTTTGGGAAAACAGCACGTGCCAGGGAAAGGCCGCACGTGCCGCAGAGACGCCGCAAGGTGCTGACACCATGCCTTGACAAGTGTACGACATTTATTTCACGCACTCGTGCACAATCTGCCACGAAATCATTCAAAAATAGTATTAGTATTAAAAGTTTTTTGTGCTCTTTTTTCTATTTTACTTAAAAATTCAGGAACTTTTGCTCTAATAAGGTTGTGGTTGGTAATAAATGTCACAAAGTTTGAAGTGACAAGTCTCAAATATTTTTCAAAATTTTGTTGAATTAACAATTAATAATGCAAACATTTCTTGCACACCATCTGAAACGCCGTTGAAAGTCACTATTACCAACCTCTATAGAGTAAATTGTACTAGTCTTTTTCAGCACCCGAATTGGTGTTGAAATGGTTCATTAAAGCATCGGTTTTGGTATCGAAATAAGCTTTTTTTCAGACGTAAATTAGAAAAAATCAATTTTATTACACTGTTTAACCATCTACAGGGTGAATCGAGTTTTACTGCTTACGACTTGAAAGTTTGTTGAAAATATGACATTTGAGAAAAATACAAGCACATATGGTGCCGTTTCACGCCTCCTTTGCTAAATCTGTCTAATTCGAATTGATGAAGATGTGATGCAAATTGTGCAATAATGCGATCTGGCAACAAAATCCAAAGTAAACACACCTCTAATCTTGGTGTACACATGCAAGCTGCTAACCTCCCGCCATAAATAAATCGCATTAAGATTAAAATTAGGAATCAATCGAGCTTGAACTAGTTATAGATAGGGCTGCAAGTTGTTTAGAGGGGTGGTGACATGAAGCTGGACAAAAACTCGCCGGCATGAAGTGTGGCTAAATGAACATTTAATATGGGGTGAATTACAAAGGGAACTGATCACCATATTACCCTGAATGGGACACTATATTAAATTATACCACATTGTTGGCTAACTCTGGACAAATTAAAAAGTGAGTTTTGTTTCGACGGCAGTGTGGAGATTTCAGTGATGGGTTAGAGCAGATGAACACTGAAATTACGTCCTTTATTGCTTCAAACAGTTCAAACCCTCTATAAGCAACGCAAATGTAAATGTATTTAATAACACCAAAAACAATAATAACAAACTAATAATTTAATCTTTTTTTTTTCAGACAATAATAATTATTAAAATAATTTAATAATTAGATAATTAATGCAATAAAAATTGTGATCTTGTTTTGAGAATGAAATTTTGTTTTGTTTTATGTATTTTTTGTAATGACAACTTACATGGAATTTTTTTTAGATAAAAACTGAATAAAATCTGTGCCTTAGAGAGAGAGGTGTTAAGTCACAAATTTTTAATTTTTATTTTTATTTTTATTTATTTTATTTATTTATTTTATACAGAGAGTCGCGAGGAGTAAGTTCAAAAACAATAGAATTTTTTTCGAATTTTTGTAATGCTTTACACAATTAAATATTTGGCCATTTCTAAAAATGTTATGCGCTTTCCTGAACAATCTGACTTAATACAGTTGACCTCTGAGGTACCGAAATATAAATTGTTGTGATCCTTAGATCACTTTTGTAACAAAAGGTTTTATACGTCCCCGGATTGGGTTTACAAGAGGAATTTTTTTTATCTTTGATTTTACGCCAAAACTGCAAAGGAAAAAAGTTTTTGCTTTACTTAAAACCAGCAAATCTGTTATTAAAACTTCATAATTCTAACTCAGTAGAAAGAAAAGTTTATTTTTCTCTTGATTTTGGACTTGGAATGATTTTTCTCTCCTATTTAAGTCTTATCACATTGGCGGTTTTAATTATTTCACAACTATATGTCACTTTGACAATTAATTTATTAATTAAATAATGATAGTTCTTGTTAAAAATGACTTTGGCTTTTACCTTAAAGCTGTTTCTTTGTGTTGCTGTTTATTAAAATATGTTTTTCACAAACAAGTTAAATCAAGAGAAAAATGAACTTTTCTTTCTACTGAGTTAGAATAATAAAGTTTTAATTATAGATTTGCTGGTTTCAAGTAAAGCAAAAACTTTTTTCCTTTGTAGTTTTGCTGTAAAATCAAAGATAATTTTTTTTTCCTCTTATAAACCCGATCCGGGGACATACTGTAGAGTGTAGAGTGTTACCATGTAAAAAATTAAAAATTTTGCAAAACTCAAAAACTAAAACAAATTTTGAAATTACATTTTTATTGTACTTAATAATTTATAATTATCTTTTATAAAGCAATTAGTTTATGCAAAAAACGCTTGTTTTTATGTACATTTTGTTTACCATGTATGTATGTGTGTTTTTCTTGTTTTTGTTTTAAATACATACTAAAAATTGCAGAAAATTAATCTTTTAAGAAATTCTTATTCCTATATAATGTTTCACAACTTTTTGCAAAATTTTAACGAAATGTACAATTTTACACATAATAAATCCAGTTAATCTAGTAAAAATGTGTCTAAGAAAATCCATCAGAAAACTTTTTATTGATTAAAATTCTGATACACTGACTTTCTTATTACGGATTAAATTTTTTTATGAAGTGTTTTAGATGGACTTCTGACACATTCAACATGATGATACTACACTCGAATTTGTTGACATTAGCAACTTGTCTAGTTTTTTAAAATTTACTCTTATTCTAGAAAAAAAAGTTTTAAGTGTTTTTTTTTGTTGATTTTCTAACTAAAAATTCATAACATTAATTAATTAATTCATAACATACCGAAAAACTATTTGTGCAAGCGTGAAAATAACTATTATTATAATAGACATTCTTTGATATTTTTTATTTTTTTTATTTTTTTTTTCAACGGTAATCTATCTGTATGATTTTTTTTTTGAATTGATTAACTGTTCAAATGTTTATAATTTTTGTGATTATGTGGCAATCTTGAGGACATTTCGAAATTTCTTATTCCTTATTCATGGAGATTTAAACTTGATTTTTATTCTAACGTAATTTTTGAGGTCAGGAGATAGCGAAAAAACTTTGCTTGGCTTATGTTCTGTAGGGTGTGCTTTTTCCTTTAATATTTGTTAATAATAATTAATGAGAAAATTTGTATTTTGTTGATACAAGTGTATTTTTTAAACTTGCATTAAGTTACAATTCATTTTGTCACCCTCGGAAACATGTTGGTTGCAATATCGCATTATAACAGCTTATTGCAAAGCTCCTCCCCTTGTCAAAAGGCACGACAAGTGTACACAGTGAACATTAAAGCCACATTAACATAGGGGCGGGGATATTTAAAAAGTTTATTCAGCAACCTGATAGAGGAACACAAACACTTGCAGCTGCAGGACCGTACATTCACTTTTCTTCAATTTATCCGACTTTAAAATTAATTCCAAAAGCAAAATTAATTGAACTCAACCAAAAATTAAATACATCTCCTAAATCTGCTAAATTTAGTTATAACAAAAAAATGCCTATTTGGTTTCGAATTCCTAAATACTCCCCTGCTCCTGTCGGTCCAGCCGAGGGATGCAACAATTCGGGGTGGATCCGCGTTGACCGGCCCCTAGAGGGTGGTAGGTGGTAATAGGACCAAACTACCAAACTACATTTAGTTTATTTTTAACTACCAAACAATTTACCAGTCATAATAATTAAATCACGCGAGCTTTGAACGTCAAACAATCCAAAAATAAAAAAGTGACACGAAATTTGAGGATCGGAAAGAAGAGAATGTTTCCTATAGTTCCTCAAAATTTTGAATTTAGAAATCACAGTTTTTCGAGTCCGGAGTTGATTACGAGTTTTGTGACCGGTTCTTCAAAACTTTTGGTGCCTGGAAAAGTTACGGCTTCGGGGGCGATTCCTCAAGGAGCTGTCTCAGCCCCCATCGAGGCTGCGCAACTGGTGGGACAATCGGACGTTGTCCAGGTGAGTGGCAGCGAAAAATTTGCAAAAAAGACTATTTTTATCTGTTTTTTAAAATTAATTGTGTTTAATATTTTGTATATTAATGGATTAATTAAATTAAGAATAGAGAGAAACATAATTTTTCACCAATTGCTTGTCTAAATGTTTATTTTTATCTATTTTTATATTAGTTGTGTTTATTACAAAATATTAATGGATT